TATATAGTAAAATCGCACAAGGAAAACTTTTTGTTAGTGCACTAAAGGTGGTTTACTATGCAGATTTTTGAGAAAGACGTTTGTTTTGATCGTGCTACGTTACACCTGATTCTCAAATCTGATTTGTAGATCATGCATAATCATGCATAACCGAGCACAGATTTTTTGAATGCATACAGTAGTTGCCTATTTTTTTTTTATTGGAAATCATTATGCATGTTTATGCACAAATGTTCATATATACGTATGCTAAAAACTTAACTTGGATAATGAAAAATGATGCAGGCTTTGCTCCATCGATTACTTACAAAAACATCAAACGATTTAAACCAAGCACAACAAGAACTGAAATGGTTAACGATTTATGTATTACAGCAAACTAAAAATCCTATTTTGAATAAATTAAAAACATCGATAATTTCTACCAATGAAATTATTAAAAATTTAAATAATAATGAAAAATTACTTTTAAGTAAATATGTTAATGAAAGGGTTGAAAAATCTAAACCATTACAGTATATACTTGGTTAGTATTTAATGAAACAAATACATATGTAATATGAAATAGCATTTAATTATATTCTAATGTTAGGAACTCAGCCATTTTGTGATTTGGAAATAATCACAAAACCACCTGTATTAATTCCCAGGTATCTACGCATTATCATGATGCCTTTGCAATTAATAAAATAAATATTATTTATAAAAGACTAATTTTTACTAATTTTCAGATGGGAAACAGAAGAATGGACTAGTCGTTTAATAGCTCTATTAAAACCTCGTTTTTCAACAAACACCACCTTTGCATCCCAGAAATCTTCCTTTAAAATTATTGACATTTGCACAGGATCAGGATGTATAGCATTGGCACTCTCAAATGCACTTCCAAAAAATTCATGTTATATTAATGGTGTAGATATTTCTAATGATGCACTTTCCCTTGCTAATTTAAATCTTTCGATAATGGATTCTTGTAAAAAAATACATAATCATGTTGAATTTTTCCACTTTGATATCATGAAGTCTACTGATGAACAAATTTATGAATTTATGCAAAAGAGCAATGGTTATGATTTAGTGGTTTCTAATCCACCTTATATTTCTCATGATGAATATTTGACATTAGATGAAGATGTTAGATTGTGGGAAGATAAATTGGCAATGGTTGCTGATGAGAATGGCACAATATTTCATAATAGAATCGCATATTTAACAGCTAGATATTTGTTTAAAAAAAATAGTCCCTTTACAAATGTTTGGAAAAATAAGATACCACAATTGGTTATGGAAATTGGAGGTAGTCATCAAATATCTAGTATTGTCGAAGAATTAAAAAAATACAACTTTAAATCTGTAGATATCTGGAAAGACAGTGCTGGCAAAGCAGGTCATGCTTTAGTAAGTGAGAAAGGAAAACAATTAAAGCGTTTATCAGCTATTTTACGGTAATTTATAAAA